GAGGGGCCAGCCTGCCGCGGGGTCACAACAGAAGCACAAGCAGGGGTGTGGGGCTGGATCTGTTTGGAGCTGGGCTTGATCCGGCTGTGCACAAGAGGCACAGTTGCCGCCCGAGCGGAGTAGACTCATCGAAGCATCGGGGGTCTCTGAGGGCAACGCATGGCCGGGGTGCACATCGGGCCAGAGCAGGAAGACCGATGATGGCGAGCGAGGAAAACATAGGTCGCCGAATACTGGGTGATGATACTGTTTCTTGGCTGGGCTGCTGCAGGCCGCCGTCGCAGTAAAACCTCGAAACCGATACTACAAGTAGGAAATCACAAGCCCACAGTTCCCCTGGCACTCCTACAAAAACGGACTGATAGGGGGCAGATGGCATGTGTTGTGCTGTGGGCGTGAGAACCTCGTCATGGAAGCACATTCGGCCGGACGGTGAAGCTAGGGCGCAGGGTGAATCAGTGTCTATGTTAGGCGGGGCCAGGTCGGCCCTGTCGTCCGTCTCTATGGGTGAGGCCTCGGGTGCTACATGGGATTTGGACAGCAGAGCCATGGGCAAAACGGTGCAACTGAAAAGAAGGGGAAAAAATGAAGCATTCATGTGAGGACAAACAGGCGGGCGGGCCAACCGCGCCACAGATGCTGGTGCACAGAGAGCGAAAGAGAACGGACTGTGGAGGGAATGGGGAGGTTGACACAATTGATAATAGGAACATGAGCTACATAGCAGCCTACATGTCCATAGCTCACATACAGTAATGGTGTGTCGGAGTATATAGGCCTGGCCTCATTACTGCCACGCGCAATTAGGACCCTAGCAGAGAGAGGTGTGGAGGAGAAAGTAGGAGTTGACAAGGGTAATAGGTGAGGAGGGACGGAACTACGGTCAAGGAATTCAAGGTCTCAATTACACATCGCTCCATATGCAGGTTTGGGCACGATAGGAAATAGCAATAGTGTCAAGATAGAAGGCCCACACAACCCTCTATATAGATCCAGCATTATAATAGAAGGACGTAGGAGCGTATTGACAGTCCCCGCATCGCACTAACCTTTATAGTGACGTTTCCCGGTGGTGACTTTCTCCTCATGTTGAAGAGCAGGGCCCACTGTTAATGATCATATCCTCATTGAATGACCACTCTACTCAACGTATGTATGTAGCGGTACGCAGGGAGTGGAGAGCATAGATATAGAGAGAGAGAGAGATAGAGAGTCAACAAACAACTACTTATATAGGGTAGGATGCAAAGTTCAGCTTCGGAGCCTTCCTAGAGTGTGTTGCAGCGACCTCTGATCCTAGATAACGTCACACAACTACACGTGTATACTATAGCCTGGAAACTTGCGCAGGGGTGGGAGCGAAATAGCGCGGCTGTGGAAGTTTGCAACACATGATTCCCGAAAGTGGAAATTTGCTCTTGCTACCAACAACAAAGGTTTTTATACTTCAGAAGATTCTTACTACACAGTATAACCAGGACTGGCTGGGCTTTTTGAATTTGTGTATTAGAGTGTTCACCTCTCAGCCCTTCGAGATTCGAGACCACCTCCTTGAGCACACTTAGTAGGGATAACACACCTTCGAATGACCATACGTTACATAACGGTGTATGAGCCCATGACTGCATACAGAGTTGAACTACATGCCTTTACTTTCAACTTGCTTTTGCATATACCCACATTAGCATGTTACGCAGTGGCGTATTAGAACTTTGTGGAGGACTACCCTTTTAACTTGGCAACTACTACCTTAAAGGATGGTTACGGCAACACTTGAACAAAGTGGCCACTATAAAACATTGCAACAGCTCAGCAGCTCACAGTAGTCTCTACAACTGCCATGCTCTGTTTGTTGAGCTCAGCATTTCTGAGAAGTTAGCTTGCAACTATGTCGTGGTGCGCGCCATTATCGACAACGGACGTATATACATAGTTCGCGGCGCACAGTAGACTAATAGTAGACGGGAAAGGGGTGTATGCAGTGGCGTGCATTATTTAGAACAACGACTCACAGCTATGACGTTGACGACGTGGTCTTGCCCGAGTTCTGGAGGCCCACGAGCGTCAACTCCATCTCCTCCTTCCAGAAGAGGCTCTTGAACCACTCGATGATTCTGTTTATAAAGCCCAGCAATCTTGGTCCGCCCCGCGAAACTCCGCCGCCACGACCAACACTTTCCCTCGTCGAGGACACAACCAGACACAACCGACTCACGCGACAATATGACTGGGCTGCTACTAGGGTAACTGTTTCAGAGAGACAAACGACAGATCAAGCCTCGGATCTGCAACCAAACAAGCCGACAACACAAATCGCCATCTTTAACCATGTACCACGTTAGACACCGTGCGCGTCGATGCCACATATGCACACACGCTACGACGCCGCGCAGCCACAGCGCGCGCGCAACAACAATGCCTCGTGCCGCATGCGCTATATCCGCCGCTCGTTTTCTGACGTTCTCCATCCTGCCTCTCCTGAGAGCTAGATCGTAGGGTCACCGCAGGGGCAGCTACCGTTTGTCATCTAATGTCTGCTGAGCCGTCAGAAAAGCGCAGCAAGCAGGTCCCCGTGACACTGGGGGTACTGTGAAAATCGAGGGGTGAGTGTGCTGAGAGTTGGTTGCATGCATGCATGGCGTGGAGTGCATGTATTGGGATATCCCATGTTTGTTAGTCTGTTTCAGTTTATACTTGTGTCAGTATTAGTGTATATTTGTTGTTGATTCAGCTGGCTCAGCCAATACGGCTGCTGCTCAAGTACACTGGGACTGAATTTGAAGATGTGCAGTATGACACTGGTGAATGTATGTAGCTACATGTATGTTTCAATCACAAATATGCGCAATCACTTTCGATTATTATCTAAAATGCAGCGTGGTTTTCGGTCAAATTCACTCTCGGACTTGACTTTCCAAATGTAAGAGTGAAAGTCAATGTGCATTCTTGTGTGTTAGTTTTGTGTATACATTTGCAGTTGCCTTATCTGTTTGATGGAGATTTGAAGTTTACTGAATCAAGGGCCGTGAGTTAACTTTGATATTTATTTGTTAAACTTTACTTTCATTTGTGTATTGTGTGCAGATCATGCACTATATTGCTAGGAAGAACAATCTTTGTAAGTGGTTATAGTAAGGATTATTGGCAGTGACGGCATTTTTTGAGCAGGTGGCAGTACCGAGCCAGAGAAGGTTGCCGTGGAAATGGTCGAGGGAGTGGTATGTTTAATGTGGGCATAACCCTTCCACACTTTATATTATGTAAAGACGTGAAGAATAGACTATTTCTTTTGATGAGGTTTGTTTTTGACAGGTTGATGGAGTCAAGAGTAGGTTCACCGGAATGTGCTACAATGCTAAATTTGTGAGTTTCTCCTGTTTTTTTTAGATATAGCTACGTAAGAGAACTTGCTTGTGTGTGAAATGATAGGAGGAGATGAAACCGGATGTGATGAAGTACGTGAATGAGAAACTGAAGGTTCTCTCAGCGTATCTTGGAGAAAAGAAATGGTTTACTGGAGACGCTGTACGTTGCCTATTAATATGTATTGGAGGTTAGTTATACTGTATAGAAGGAAGTTTTCGCGGAAGAGAATCTTTCGTATAAGATAAAGTCCTTACACATTTTTTTTTGTTTTTTGTTTTTTGCTTTTTTTGGGACATGTGTGACAGCTCTAAAGCTGGAAGACAGTTATTTTTTTTCCTCGAAGAGGGAACTGGTCCTGCCTACAGTTGGCTAAGAAAACTGTCTCCCCCAAAAAAGTTTCCCACTATTATTATATAGCTACTCTTCTTCCTCGCAATAGATAACATATGTTGATTTGTGGCTTACGAGACTCTGGATGTTCTGCGTTTGTTTGACCCAGAAATATATGGCAGTGACTTGAGCAACATCCCTGTAAGTTTTGGGTATTGTTGCATACTCTACTACATTTGGTTTACCTTAATCCTTAGGCATTTCTGGAGAGGTTTGAGGTGAGTTGCATTTTCCTTGATCCAATGATAAAGTGAGTCCTGTGTTTACACAGCAACTACCTGCCATTATGGAGTACATGAAGTCCTCCGAGTTTATTAGTAGACCTGTGAATAGCCCGGAGAGAGCTCAGTGGAAGTAGCTAGAAATGTCGCGACAGACAACTTTTTTTAGTTGGGTAAAAATGTACATTTTGTAGACACTTAACTTAATTCATAAGTAGCTGAGCATTGGCTCGATTAACCTGTCCATTGTTTGGTGGTGGATTAGCGACGTAAAATATCTTTGTGCTAAATTATGTACACACAAACACACTTACAAACAATATACAAAATAATTGAATCAGTTCAATCAGTGTCGGGAATGGGTGGTGGATTTCTTGTGGAGCCGGGATAGTTTGGAGAATAGAGCTGTCCTTTTGTTCGTCTGACAAGCTTTCGGTCCGCTACCCACTGGGGCCCCCTCCCTTCTCTCTCAAACTGCTCCACCATTCTGCCCCGCCATTGCTCTAGAGTCGACCGCCACTCAGGCTCGCCCGCGAGGTTCGTCATCTCGTGGGGGTCAGAGTCCAAGTCGAATAGCTGCTCGTCATCAAAGTACGCACGGAACACGTACTTTGTGTGACCATCAGTGAGAGCGTTCCAGTGGTTGGTGATGTTATAGCAGGTGCTGTGCTCCAAGTCCAGATATTCTCTCCAAGTCTCCCCTTCCTGAGAAACAAAAAACGGGTTGTTTTTCATCATACACTAACCTACATTATCTCCTGCATTACATGGGTGTTAGTTAGCATGTTGTTCCCACAGCAAACCAGACTATTATGCGGAATGGAGTGGATTTATTTGTACATCTGGGCATGGAGAGTACGTATTAATTAATATAATATAGCTATAATAGTACCTGTTTCTGCTGTGATATGGAGTTCTGCAGCTTATGTCCAGGTTGTGATGCACGCAGGAGGTTCAGTAGAGAGCTTCCATTGAGAGTATGGGCCACAGGGACACCAGCAATATCCAGAAACGTTGGGAAAAGATCACGTAACTCCACTACTTCTTCCCTCACCGAGCCTCTAGGCTCAGATATATCTCCTCCAGTTGGTGGGTGTGGCCTCCGAGACATCGGCCATTTGAACATCATCGGGATATGGGACGACCCGAAATAGGGGTAGGTCTTACGGAAGTGGTAGTGGTCGCCAAGCATGTCCCCGTGATCAGCTGTAAAGAGAACAAAAGTGTCATCTGCCAGACCCTGTTCTTGGAGGACTGTCAGGATTTCGCCCACCCAGGAGTCTATGAACCCCACGTTGCCGTAGTAAGCCTGTCGGGAGACACGGAGAGTGTCCAGGCTGATGTTCCCACACCATATCCCGGGGTCAGGGGTCGTGTTATAGTTGACGGCATACCGAGAATCCCAGTTTCCACCTGTGTACGGATCAGGCATGTGTGTAGGGTCATACTGATCCATGTAGACCTTGGGCGGATCATACGGACTGTGCGGTCGATGAAAAGACACTTTGAGGAAGAAGGGTCTCGTTTGGTCGTACGTCTTGAGAAATTCGATGGCTGCTCGTCCAACGTATGCAGTGGGGTGGTAGTATTCATCCAAGACGTAAGCTCGTCCTCTGTAGTCGTTGTATTCCAGGCCGGTTGCCATGGGGTTTACTCCCGGGTTAGCCTCCGCAAACCACTGGTCGTAGTCGTCCAGTTCTTTCGGGAGCCCGTCGTAGAGATCTGTCCTGTGGTATCCGTGGGGCACCCCTTCGTTAGTAGTGGTATTCCACCCAAAGTGGTCCTTGCCAATGGAACAGGTGAAGTATCCACCAGAAGAGAGAGCTCTAGGCAGTTCGTAAGGATACCTGAAAGTATACAATGTGTTTACCATACAGCTAACTGAGCTAGCTAGCTAGGAGTACAACAGCACCTCGTAGCCACGACGCCGTAGCCAAGCATTCCGTGGTACCAGGGAGAGAGGCCGGTGAGGATGGCGGCACGTGCAGGCGTGCAGCTCGGGGTGGAAGAGAAGGCGTTGGCGAAGCGAACTCCCTCGGCCGCCAGCTTGTCCAGGTTGGGGGTCCTGATCGCGGCGTTGCCCGCGCAGCTCAGGGCGTCTGCGCGCATCTGGTCCGCCATCATGAAGAGTATGTTAGGGGGAGTTTGCGGGTCGGGTGCAGCAAGAGACTGCACGACAGAGATTGCCAGTAGTAGACCAGCTACCACTGCATTCTCCATGATGATGATTGATGATGGATGCACTCACTGTTCACGCGCATGAGTAAAATTGCACATAGTGGGTGTGTCGATCCAATTTAACGAAAGTACAGTAATATCGAAACACCTGCTTCTTCTCCTCTGTGAGTCTAGGTTTTTTCCTCTGGTTTCTGTTCCCGGGCTATGAGCGAGAAGTCCAACATGTCTGAAGACGTTCCCAAGATCGTGCTCATCCCGCACGAGCGGAGCCATCCGTTCGCCAGGCGAGAGTGCATCGCTCGCGAGCCGCTCAAAGTGGGTCGCTCAGTTGACAAGAAACGAATCTCCACGAACAACTTGATATTCGACTGCCGCGTCCTGTCCAGGAACCACGCCGTCATACGGTTTGAGGATGGAAAGGTAAGGACTACATGGTCTCAGTAGTATAATGTAGATGTCACACTTACAAAAAATGGTTATAAAACACATTTATCATAATGTATTGCCTAAGGCGATAAACTATGCCCCTGCCGCTTGAGAATAGAAAAATGAAGATCATAAATTCCCCATTGCTTTGGTATGACTCATATCACACTTCCATTAATGATAGAACCTGCATTTACATACATACTTTGTGTATGGTGAATACCTTCAGCCATTATTAAAGTGGCATATATGGGTGGTGGTGGTGGCGTATGCCGGGCACATAACTGACAGTATTGTGATCTACATGTTGCTCAGTTCTACATCAAGGACACAAAGAGCAGTAACGGGACGTTTGTGAACGAGAATCGACTGAGTCCGTCGGGCGAGGAGAGTGGGCTGGTCGAACTGAAGAGTAGAGACATTCTCCAGTTTGGAGTCAACGTCAACGTAGAGAGAAGAGGTGTGTATAGTCCGCAGTAGTGCATTGATGTATAGGTATATATATATACTAGTGGAAATGTTGAACATTGTTGGCGAGCGGGAGCGACCCAACTTGGGATTTCACCGCGATGTTCGGGCTGCATAACGCGCACAGCTTTCCTTTCGTGAAGCAAGACAGATCTACCTGCCGCCGTTACATGCGTACTGTATATTGCCAGAACGGTGAGCAGGTGAGCAGAACGGTACTTACCTTACGCTTTCAGCTCGTCAGTCGTGGTCCACCTGGCAACTGGCATGCAGCAGTATGTGCCCTAGCGTATTATGCAAGTTGCACCTTGAGATTGGGAAGAGGTACAGCTTCGGTCAGTCACCGATGGTCGAATGGAGGAGAGTTGAAATAATTTCGGATAAAAAGAAGCGCGTACAAATACGCGCATGCGCACTTCCACGACGTACGAACGCATATATATATATATATATATACACAGAAAATTCCGCTCGAACGAACGACTAGGTTGGCTCGCTCCCGCTCGCCAATAATCCATGGAGCATGTGTGCTGTTCAATTAGGAAACTTTCAACTGAAAATGACACGTGCACAATGATGCTAATCAATAGTGAGTGATCATTTCTCCAAAGTAAGGATTGCATGCCTGAAATTGTAGAAAATGTGATATTTTGGTTTACAGATTTATAAGTCTTTTTCAATGCCCTCAGGTTATTCCCGATGTCCTGCTAGAGTGTGTATATTATTATATATACCATAATAATTGTGACAGTATACTCTTTTATCCCTGATCCCACAGTGACTCATGGGTGTATCATTGCCACCATTAAGCTATACGTCAACGATGTGGAACTTCCAGGGTGAGCCTAGCGGGCTGAAACACACACATACTTAAGGAGGGAGAGAGGGAGAGAGAGAGAAAGAGAGAGAGAGATTAATGTCTGCATGTCCGAGACTATAGTTACTGTTTCGTGCGGGAGTATAAGCATTCTTGGACCGCCATTCAAGAAAGTGCCAAAATGGTGTTTTAGTGTGTATTCGTATATTATATGTCTGTAATTCCGTGTGTGGGTAGTGTGTGATGTATCTGGGGATAAGATGTCATTCGTAGACTGATATTCGAGAAAATGCAAAATGATCGTTTATGTATACGACCATCTGTGTTTAGTAATACTGTGCATGGATAGTGTATAATGTACGCATTCTCTATAATTATATTCATAGTATGGATCCCCCAATCCACGAAGTCCTGCAGATTGTACAGGTAACAGTAGTATGCTAATCTTTTAATCATGCAAAACTGAGTCCCCTGCCCCTCGAATTTGTATTCATTAGGGTCTTCCAGTCATGTCCCCAGACTTTGTGTTCTCAGCTACTGTAACAGTGTAGTCACCAAGGCAGAGCTTTTCTTTGACATTAACATACATAATGCATCTTTTGGCCCTTGCTTTGTTAGTTAAAATCACGCATGATAACTTTTTTTTTGTCGAAGAAAGATTTACTGCGTTTGCTCTATTGTTTCGATCATGTTCACTCATTCCCACCCCACTGTTGGTGTGTCAGCTTGCACTGACGAGAGAGCAAGAGCTGGAGAACAAACTGGCGTCCATGCAGGAGGTCCTCAACTCTGCTCGCCAGCTGGCCACAGAGAGCATGATCGTATGTCTCTTTTAACTAACCCTGTCATTAGGTCCATTGTCCATTCTGTTTTACACGAGCCTAGAGCATCTTTTGTGCGAAATCGATGAACAACTCTGATTGCCGCTAAACAAAACTAACAACCACTTGTGTAGTTATTTTGGGATAACAGTTCCACTGTATCTGGCCTGCAGAGTGTGGTAAAGGAAGATGAGTTGATGTCGCGACTGGAGATGTTGGAGAACCAGCTACAAGTCTACTCCAGAGTCAGTCTCTACTATAACCATACACACACACACACATCTAGACATTTGGTTATAATTTCATACTGTACGTGTGATGTGTGTGTAGAATTCAACCGACGATGAGCTGAAAAAACAACTGACCATGTCGTTTGAAGAGAAGCACAAGACAGAGGCTGCTCTGAAGGTTTGAACTTTGCAGTGGTCTGCTGTTTTAAAACTACTGCCTTACTCTGTCGGCTTAGATGGTGCATGGGGTGGTATTGTGTATCCAAGTCTGGCACTTTTCTTTTTGGTTCTCATGCATGCATTATGTAATGGGCAAGATCTCGGGAAAATTGTGTATGGAAAATTGTAGTAATGTAGCTGTCAAATCTCAACAGGAGTCACTGAGGAAGATACTGCAGGAGAAGCTGGAGTGCATGTCCAAACTCAGCCAAACCGAGGTGAGCATCATTCAAATGCTACTCTCCATCCTTCTGTATTGTCAATATGCAGAGGGTGTGGGTAAATAAATAATTTGAGGTGTATTGATATGGAGTGTTGTAATGCAGCGTGATTATGATAAAGCTGAACAAGAGTGCCAGCGATACAAGACTCTGTACGACGTCACCAAAGAAGAGGTTTGCAACTTTGAAATTTTTTGGGTGAATTCCTGGGTTTTTTTCCCTGTTTTTTGTCCCAGCGTGGTTTTTCTTGTGCCTATGTATATAATTATTCTTCTGCCTCTGTGTGTTTTTGTATTGTGTCCACATCTGTATGTGTCTGGCTGCAGCATTTCCAGGAGAAGATGAAGCTGTCAGAGCAGCTGAGGATGGCAGAATCCGAGAGAAAACTCAGGAGGACAAGGTTTTATACACCGAACAGCACACGTGATAACAATATTTGTAGCGAATCAAGGTCTCGGGCAGCACATACATAGTACGTCATACAGTGTGGTCATTCACACTAGGCAGCTCATCCCATTGAAACTATGAGTATTGACCCTCAGCCCCTTTGCCTAGCATCTTCACTATGCTCAGAAAGCTACATCCCAGAGGTCCTCGGGCCCCTAATGAACAGATTTTGCAGAATCAATGCCTAACTTTCTTTATGAATATTCCTCGAAATCTCCGCCTCTAACTCTGCAGCTGAAAGAGGAGAGACAGAATCTGACTACCAAGAACGAGGCTCTTCAGGCAGAACTGGACTTCACTCAGAACCAGCTATCTGGCAAGAAGGCTCAGGTACACACACACACACACACACACACACACACACATCTTACACTACTGTAGTACACTTTCACATTCATGATGCAGTGACCTTTCATTGAAAGAGACCTTGTTTGTGGGGTTTTCATGTATAATGCTGCGACATCCATTTAGTGTAGGCCTAAAGTCCTCAGTGAAAGGATGGCAAACCTTGTATATATAGCCATAGGGGGAGGCTGGGAATGAGGCAAAGTATGTTTGTCACAGGTTGAAGAGCTACGGGAAGAGTTGCTGCAAGTTCAGCTGCAGCTCCAGACTGAGCTTCACAGGAGGACTGGAGGTGGTGTGGAGTATAACATCTCACAGGGTGAGGATGGGAGGGAGAGGGGGGAGATGAGGAACAGGGAAGAAAAGGGGGAGGGAATGAAGAGGGAGGAGGTGAGAGAGAGGAGATGAGGACAAGAGGGAAAGAGAAAGAGAGGGAGAAAGAGGAAGGGGGAGGAATGAAAATGGAGGATGAACAAGAGATTCCTCCCTACACAGGTGAGTCTTCTTCACTGACCGTGGAAGCAAGTGAGCAGTATCAGGTGCCCCCACCAGAGACCCTACCACTCAGAGGTAGCCAGTCTCAAGCTTACTGCAGTTCACAATACTGTGGTAGACTTGCACCTTCACATACATACATAGCTCATTACATTACTGTAGCTATAATACTGGGTGACAAAACAGGAGTCTATATATCATCATTGTGATAGTGTCTTACCTGCATTGGTATAAAACACCCATGTCATAGGAGAGTTGCTTGCTCTACGAACTCCATAATAATAATATGCTCAAGTTTCAACTAGTATCTATCTATATATGCAGCATGTGTAACCATTATGAATAACTATACAGAGGAGGCCATTGGTAATGTAAAGATGTCACAGACTTCAGACGCCACTGGCCAGAGAGCTCCATCGTGTGAGTCACTATAGCTCTATGTATATACTGTGTGTAAATGACTGGCTTGTCTCCTCCATACATTACCGCAGTCATATCTGAGTCTGATTCTGACATGGATGAAGATGAAGCGGAGAAATTAGCCGGTAAGAGAGTCTCTTTTGAAACACACTCATTTTCAATAGTTTTGCATATATACAATGATGTGGAGTTTCTGCACACTAGCCACCCCCAAAGCTTTTCCACTGTGGCCTCAATTCTTATTTTTTCCTGATGAAGGAACATTTTTGCTTCACGGAAATATTGCGAAATGCTGGATTTTCTCCTTCGACACAGAGCGAGTGCTCCACCTGGAGGCTGACCTGCGTCGCTCCGAGATGACCATCCAGGGTCTACAGCAGGAGCTGGCCGCCACCAAACTGGCCCAGACACCCACCACCGACACCCAGCGATACCAGCTGGGGGGCGGGGCCAGGGGTCAGAGGTCGACTCCACCCCCAGAGGTCCACAGGAGGAGCATGGAGGAGCTGGCAGCAATTGTCACCGGGACTTCTGTCGCAAAAGGTAGCGTACATGGTCTAATACCTTCATGTATATACACATATATCCTATAGTAGTATATAGATACTCCAATGTACAGTAAAACCTCCGAAATGACATGAGAACACTCTACAAAGGACCTTCTCTTTCCCAAGTGCTTGCATGTAACGCATGAAATATGAATACACTTCAAAATATTTTGTTTAGTCCCAACGGTGTCTGGACTAGAGGGTACGTACCACTGAATCTGCTTTTTACATCACCAAACCTTTGCCACCTCAAAATGTGCCTTTAATCGCAGTGACCTCACTTGTTTTAAAATACTGAGTCATGGGTTGAGTCGCAGTAGATACATGAGTTCGGATAAGTGAGGATGATGCACATAACATGATTTCATTGCAGGTCAAGTGGAGATAGTGAGAGGCTCTCTGGCCGACTCCCAACATGAACTTTTCACTCTGCAAGGTGAGTCAGAGTTTTCTGTTCAATAATATTATAGCGAGGACATTGTGAGGGAGAAAACATTTGCAATACAGTTGCAAACTAGTATGTACAGCTTTTGCAGATTGGTTATTCTACCGTACGAGGTCCTCCTCTGCAAAATTTGTGTTGAAACTTTTGTGGTTAGCTCTGAAATTGTGAAATTAAAAGATTTTCTTTCTCGAAACTCTCCTATATTATACAGTCTCAGGGGTGGTGACAATTTCAATGCTTAATTCTCCTATATATTACAGACAAGTTGGCACTTGAAACGGAAAAGACACAAGCACTTCAGGAAACTATAACGGTTCTCAATGGTGAGTATATACACTAGCTGCCCAACGCAAGGTCTGCAATATATACCTGGATGTAATGTACCTATGTCTCTGTAGGTCAACTCAACCTGTGCTATGCTGAGCTACACTCGAAGCAGCAGGAAGTGATAGCCTTGAGAAGGTATGTGCTTTTGCTGTGCTTAGGAGGCGGTGTCCAAAGGGAGATTGAAAGCCTTCTCTGTTTAACTGTAACTAGTCTTAACTGGTCTGTGGAACAATGTGCAAACTACATGTGTACCTTGAAAGTGAGATGTACTTTACTACTTACACTTCTAAAATCTCATGTCCCCTCAGTGACAGGGTAGGTAGAGGTGGAGGGGGGGTGGCAGTGGTGCAGGAACTAAAGATGAGAGTCAAGTCAGAGCGAGATGAAGGAGAGAGACTAAGAACACAGGTCTGAACTTGTGGGGTGGACCCTGGGTACGTACTTTATTCATGGGGGAAATATATATGTCCACTAATAGGGGACAAGAAGGGCACTTATACATGTATGTATAAGTAGTGTATATACTTCTCTCTTCCTGCTATAGACCACTGTGTTCAGATTGTGCTGAATTATCTACACGTCTAGCCTCCTCACTCTGTTATCCTCCTCCACAGAATGAGACTCTCCAGGAGGAGGTGGAGAGACTCAAGACTGAGCTGAGGAGTGAGGGGCGTGGCACTCCCACCACACCCCACTTCCTGAGACCTGGCTCCCCATCTGGCGAAGATCAGGTCCTTTTTCTGCCTCCTATTCCTCCCTTCCCTTTCTCTCTCTTCTTGTCTTCTTTCTGCTCTCCTCCACCACCTATATACTTTCTCCTCCTTCCTCTAGCACACGTATTTCCACAAATTGAGAGCATTTGGACACAGTTCATGCTGACTTCCGTAGCTATCACTGACGCTAGAACTATGAAAATTACAGGTGTCATTTGAAGGTTATCAATACGAGATAGAAACAAGTGTTATAAAGAAATGTCCTCTTTTCACATCTCCTCAATCTGTGCTACTATGATTTTTTGCAGAAGGTGAGAATGTTGACTGTCATTGCTCTGGTTTCTATTGGAGTGGCTCTAGCCTCGTGGCTGGCATAACTTCGTGGCTAAAACACTACTAGAACATCATATATACCTCCATTGTATAGACTCTAAATTGTACAAAATGAGCAAAGATTCTACATGTACGTAGATGTGTTCATAAAATTACAAATCACGGTAAGAGGGGATCCGACACAGTCTCTTTTTACAAACTTATTTAACAATTTTGTGCACGCCATCATGTACATAAACTATGATATATCGAGGCATGACACAGTCTGGATTGTAGACGACCAACTCTGCGTAGTTGAGGGCTTGGCCTGGTTTTCCGTACACGCTGTGATATCCATCTGGGGGTTTTTCCCGTTTCACATCGTTGTTGTAGATTGTGTATTTCTTCCCCGGCAAAATGTCGACCAGGAGCATTGCACGGTGTGTCAGGACTCCCTGGGTGTAGTCGTGGCACTTTGAGGAGTTGGGGGCAAAGTAGAATGCAAGACCAAAACGGTGGTAGTTTATATTCTTCCGAAAAAGCCTCCTGTCCATCCCGTACTTGCTGATCCCACATATCCCGCAGTCCTCGTCATTACAGGGGCTCTGTGTGTTGACAATGTCACACTTCAACTTGGTCCCGTGGAAGTGTTTCTCGACAGTCTGACAGTCACTTGGAAGTCCCGGTTTATAAGTGTTCCACCGTGCCTCCAGTTGTGGGTTGACAATTTGGAAAGCGCAAGTAATTGTGGGGCAGGTACCCTTCTGGGAAGGCCACTGACTGCTGAAGTGCGACTGAACTTGACTGAGTTCTGAGTATCTCAACTGCCGTAGGGTGCACACTTGGGGTGCTATACCTGTATGTATTATGTAGACAATGAACACTTGCAAGAAAACACAACCTGCAGTCCCAAATTCTATTGTAATATTCATGCCCACACAGCACTGATGCTGTTGGCATTGTTCTTTTACTGCGCCGTATAGCCTGCCAGAATAGGGATGACAGCCACAGTACCCACAATCAGAAAAGCTGTTGGGATCATCACCTACATACTTATAACACTCACTGCCTGTTGTCCTGCATTGGCCCAGCTCATCTAGTACCCACACATGATCAGTAGGGCGATGTCCACAGTACTCGCATGAGTGCTTGTCACCCTCTACTGGTGCCACATATTTGGAGCACTTGCATAGGTTACACTCGCCTCGCTTTGTTCCCTGGGCATCTTTCATTACTGGTACAGCTCTGAGCTACATGAAGATATAATACACGTCATTTTAAAAGAGGACACTAGGTACTTTGTAATAATAATTATGCAGCCACTAAACAACTATTCGGTAAATAATTATTTGACATAATTTTACACTCTTTACACAGATCAGTGTACTCACAATCTTTTCTAGTCGTTCCTCAGCGTTGTCCATGGCCTGCACTAACTCAGTCTCCTATATAGCCACAATGTTCTCCTGATACTCTCGTCTGCCCTTGTCAACTGTTCCTCCTACAGTTATATACAAAGAGTAAACAAATAGTTTGCTATTAGTTTCCTTTTATGTACTTTCTGTCGTAGTTGCTGCCGAGCCTCAGCTAACTCTCTGTCCTTTGCCTGCACACAAGAGATATCCGATTAGATTCTGGTTTCGCCTCCACATATAGAGTATATCACATGCTATAATATTTGGTATCTCACGTGGTTTCTGGATTGTAGCTCTAGTACAAGGGATTGGGCATTGGCATTTTTTGTCACTAGATCTCTGAGAACATGTTCCAAATTCTGGTAATAGTGCACAAGTTTCCATTAATTGGTTCACACATAACGTGAAAACTCTTACCTGGTTCCTAGGCTGCGTCTGAAGAGCATGCAGCAGATCACGTTTGTTCCTCTCACTCTCGTAACGGCTAAAACAACCTCTGGCCCCATCCAACAGACTCAGCACCTCGCTAATACTTGGACGTTTGTGAGGACCATTGTGCAGGCATTGCTGGATCAACTGAACGAGAGGGTGGTCTCCACGGAGCTGGCCATAGGCACGGAGTTTCTCGTTCACGTGTCGCATGTACTCACTGCGTCGCTGGAGCTCAGTGCGAGCTACCAGCAGCCCACTGTTCTCGTCGAGATAGTTGGAAGCAAGAAGATCACAGGGGAAGACTTCACCAATTGTGAAAATGGCGACAACTCCAAGAGAGAAGACGTCAATACTGGTATTGTACCTCGACTTTTCAGCATTTGATTGGGTCGGCTCAAAGACCTCTGGAGGCATGTAAACTAGTGACCCGGGCATCTTCGTCATGGTGGCTGCAGCTCTAAAACGAGGCACAATACGAGCCATACCCAGGTCTGCGATCTTGGCCACCATCCCAGAGTCCAGGAGAACGTTTCCGGCGGACAAATCGCGGTGGATGACGGGCGGCGCCTGCCCGTGGAGGTATGCTAGGCCGCTCGCCACATCGTGCAGCACGGAGCACTTGAGAGCCATGGTGAAGAAGGATAGCGGTGTGATGGCGCCGGACGGAGGGGGGTGGTCTGGAACCAGCATGTCATGAAGGCTCGTCAGCAGTCGCTCCATTACGAGAGCTGGCAGTCGCGAGCCGGGAAAGAAGGTGACGCCAAGAAACTGCACGATATTCGGGTGGCGGAGGGTGCTCATCAAGTGACATTCCCTTACGAACTCTGTTACAGCCTTGGGTAGATCTACAGTCGTCCAATCCCCCTCTTGTATGACGGTGTAGATGGTTTTGGCTGCCGCGCCCACTGGGACGACCACCTCCTCCACTTTGCCATAAGCCCCGCCGCCAATTCTGGCGCCGGTGAGTTGAACGCCAGAGAGAACGAACGGTCTCAGTCCAGGATAGTCGCGGAGAAATTCTTCAGCCATCTTTGGCGGGAATATGCTAGCTGTGGGGCGGGTCGTTCTCCTTCCAGATGCCGCCCCAGAAAGAGTGAAAGAGTTCCCCGCCCCCCTCGCTACACACCCCCCCGGCCCCAGCTACGACGAAGGCGTGGCTCACGTCACACGATACGGAGCGCGCGCGCGCTTCGTGTATTATAATTATGGTTCCAGCAGAAGCAGAAAGTCGCTTTCGCCGCACTACCTTGTTGAAGTGGGCAGTGGCGGTAATCTGCGTCCTGGCCGTCCTACAAGCCACCTACTATCTACATTGGTACGTATCCTCGGGTAGGCTGGTACCGGTGCTGGGCTGCGGTGGGTGGGTACGGGCAGTCACCGCCATCAACGTTGTCACCACCAGCTCTAGTCATACAGAGTCCAGGTGGCGACAAACGACACGTCCTTTCCCTCGAGAACACGTACCTACTCAGTATTTCGACCCTGGAGGAGCTACTTGGAAAAAAGGGACTTTCTGTGACTCTTATGTTGAGAACACTTTCCAGACACCCATTGGTGTGTGCGGCTCGCAGCAGGAACCAGAACATAATATAAAATGCTATCGTAACTCTCAATCTAGAGTAATGACGTACTGTATTCTTGAGAGCGTGTTTCTCCCTGGCCCACGGATAATTGGTTACAAGCAGTTGGACGTAGGACTGCTTACTGGCGGAGCTGGAAGGTCTTGCCGGAATCTAACACTATCAAAATTCCTTATGGTTTCTGAAAAAAACAGCCAGAGCTGCAAGTTACTAGGCAGAGTCGCAGAGATTGAGAAAAAGCCATCAGCGGTGTGTGGGGATTGGTTCAACAAAACTGCGTTCTTGTACACTGCAGATCAGGGTGTGCACATCTACTTCAGAATGAATGCCTACTACAATCTCCACAAGGCCATAGCCAGAGAAGGAGTTGCTCCTGGCGATTTTGTCATAATTAAGCACCCACTATCTTCAGCCTACTTGTTTTCAGAATGGGAGAAAATGAAGCTCTTCCCTGAAATGATAGATATTGATGAGTTGCCCAACAAGACTCTGTGCTTTAGAAAATTTGTCGTGGTGCCGTACTCATTTTCAGGTATTCCGTTTCGATGCAAAGAGGATGGCAATGTCCGTGGGCCTTGCTTCAACTGCAAGGGTAGAGGATTGTATGGAAGCAGCTTTTACTCGTTCAGGCATCGAGTCGTCTCTTCTTGCGGACTGGTGGACGAAAAGAACCACGTTGGGAACAGGATTACAATTGTGTCTCGGACTCCCTACAATCGATGGAAGAAAGACGATCCAAATAAGTTTCAGCGGATACTCGATAACGAAGACGATTTAGTGAAAGCTCTAGGGAGGAAATTTCCTAACACAAATGTGACAGTGGCCCACATGGAAAAACTGGGGATCTGTGAGCAGATAAGTCTGGCTCACGATGCCGATGTGCTAATGGGTGTCCACGGAGCAGGCTTGGTACACCTGTGGTGGCTCCAGGAAGATGCACTGATTCTGGAACTCAACCCAACCTTCCAAAAGGGGAACCCATCCTTTAGAATGCTCGCTACTCTCTCAGGAAGAAACTACGACAGTATAACTGTCACTGGGTCGCAGCATATGGTCAGTGTCAACGTGGACAATGTTATAGACATGTTGAAATCTAAAACACATCTCTTTTAACACCTACACCATCAGGGGTGTGCACAGAAAATTATTGTGGCCAAATATTTGCACCAAGAGCTCTTCTGGCACTTTCAGTGCCAGCGCATAAAGTTTGTCACTCTGGACAGACGTTTTGATGCAGGCACTGTTCACTATCAAGTTGCTGCTGGCGCTGGTTTGGCGCTCACTAAAACCACCTGACGCTATCTTGAGCACCATAGCGCCAAATTCCCAACCCCGAGTATAGCGGGAGCGCGGAATTTACGACGTATAATTATATATACGTCGTGTAAATGCGCATGCGCGGCTTTGTACGCTATTTCACACGCCATGTGTGCGGGTCGATCTAGCCAGCGAGAGAACTCTCCTCCATTCGACGGCATGCGCTGCAATCTTCGGTGACTGACCGAGGCTGTATATACCTCTTCCCAATCTTCATGGTTCCAAGGTGCAACTTGCAAATACGCTAGGGTTGCTCGTGCACATACTGCTGCATGCCAGCTGCCTGGTGGACCACGACTGACGATCTGAAAGCGTAAGGTAAGTACCGTTCTGCTCACCTGCTCACCGTTCTGCCAATGTACAATACGCATGTAACGGCGACAGGTAATCTGTCTTGCTTCACGAAAGGAAAGCTATGCGCTGGCGGCACGTTATGCAGCCCGAACATCGCGGGCAAATCCCAAGTTGGATCGCTCCCACTCGCCAACAATGTTCACCAATAATGAATACCACATTGGCTCGCTCAACACGGACGGACGACATTCCAAACGTCCGGCCCCCTATCTAGCCCTGGCGCGTGCATGGGCGTGGTGCGGCCGGGGCGCGAAGCAGTGAGTTATGCGGGCTGATGGAGGGCAGAAAAGTCACTTTCGCCAAGCTACGTTACTGAAATACACGGTGATCGTCCTCTGCGTTCTGGTAGTACTACAGGGCGCCTACTTCTTGCGCTGGTACAATGTCGCCTCGGAGCGGTATACGTCGGTGCTGCTCTCGCCAGTAAGACGAAAAGGGCGGTTCCCCCATCTCCGGGTGATCAGTGACGCCAGTACTGCGCTTGCTGCTACCACCACCACCAACACTGTTGCCAACAGCGCCCAGTCTCAAATACTTCAGACCGAACCTCTAATAAGGACTACAACGGCCAGCGCTCCAGATACAGCTACCGGTGTTGCTCGGGGTCATACAGAACGCGCTACGGAATGGGCACCCTCACAGTATTTCGACCCAGCAGGACCTACTTGGAAAAAAGGGACTTTCTGTGACTCTTATGTTGAGAACACTTTCCAGACACCCATTGGTGTGTGCGGCTCACAGCAGGAACCAGAACATAATATAAAATGCTATCGTAGCACTCATTCAAAGGTGATGGTGTACTGTGTCCTCGAGAGCGTGTTTCTCCCTGGCCCACGGAGAATTGGTTCCAAGCAGCTGGACGTAGGGCTGCTTACTGGCGGAGCTGGAAGGTCTTGTCCGACTATTTCACTCTCTGAAGTTTATAAAACTTCCGAGGGAAACAGTCGCAATCACAAGCTCTTAGGCAGAGTCGCAGAGATAGAGAAAAAGCCATCAGCGGTGTGTGGGGAGTGGATCAACAAGACTGCGTTCTTGTACACTGCAGATCAGGGTGTGCACATCTACTTCAGAATGAATGCCTACTACAATCTCCACAAGGCCATAGCCAGAGAAGGAGTTGCTCCTGGCGATTTTGTCATAATTAAGCACCCACTATCTTCAGCCTACTTGTTTTCAGAATGGGAGAAAATGAAGCTCTTCCCTGAAATGATAGATATTGATGAGTTGCCCAACAAGACTATGTGCTTTAGAAAACTCGTCATTGTTCCGTACTCATTTTCAGGTATTCCGTTCCGCTGCAAGATGGAGGCCAACGTTCGTGGGCCTTGCTTCAACTGCAAGGGTAGAGGATTGTATGGAAGCAGCTTTTACTCGTTCAGGCATCGAGTCGTCTCTTCTTGCGGACTGGTGGACGAAAAGAACCACGTTGGGAACAGGATTACAATTGTGTCTCGGACTCCCTACAACCGATGGAAGAAAGACGATCCAAATAAGTTTCAGCGGATACTCGATAACGAAGACGATTTAGTGAAAGCTCTAGGGAGGAAATTTCCTAACACAAATGTGACAGTGGCCCACATGGAAAAACTGGGGATCTGTGAGCAGATAAGTCTGGCTCACGATGCCGATGTGCTAATGGGTGTCCACGGAGCAGGCTTGGTACACCTGTGGTGGCTCCAGGAAGATGCACTGATTCTGGAATTCAACCCAACCTTCCAAAAGGGGAACCCATCCTTTAGAATGCTCGCTACTCTCTCAGGAAGAAACTACGACAGTATAACTGTCACTGGGTCGCAGCATATGGTCAGTGTCAACGTGGACAATGTTATAGACATGTTGAAATCTAAAACACATCTTTCCTGACACCTAGCACTGTATACATGATTATTCTCTTTTGCGACAATAACAGTTAACCCATCAAATTTCTAGAGCCTGGAGCCACACCAAAGGCTCTCTGTGGCAATGCTAGAGTACTATAGACATCAGCATACTGTACAGTGCACCATGACGCTTACCATACTATTATGGAATGTATAAAATGCCACTGCACCCAGGAGGTTGGGTAGGAGCCGTTAAACTATTGGCAGAAAAAAAACAGCGTGAAAATGTGCATGACAGCAGCTATAGGCTACACAGACATACAATACAACGACATGTCAGGGCTCAACATAGAGTTTAGAAATGTCTTCATATGGAACTCTGTCCACACGTCTTCCGCGTGCTGGTCCCTGTGAGAATACAGACACATACATACATAGCTACAAACTCGAGACTATAAGACTAGAGTATAGCAATGCACACTGTGACACTACTGGTGTTATGTATGTGTGTATATACATACATACCTGATCAATTCTGACAGACACGCAGAATTGTGCAGTGTTGAGGCCTTCCAGTATGGCTCTGAGACCGCGATATGCCCCATTTACCACCATCACTGGCTTACCTATGTACATACGTATTATGGCACAACACACATCACATGCACGCACACACCATTCAAACACAAACACACACACACGTGCATTACAAGTGCTCTTTGTAGACAACCTAATGGTCCAGTTGTACCATCATTGCATTAGTCCAACACTCTTTACTGAATATGTTCCACGTCATGTATCATACAATGCATGGTATGGTGTTCTGGGAGTGAATGTCCACTAGGTTTGCTTCCTGGCTAAAAAAAACCTGATATTATAGTCGTGTCTTCGACAGACAAATGTGCAACAATCTGCCAAATGGCAGTAAACCGAGAGACAAGCAAGGTTGTAGAGGTATAATAAATGCCCCCTCTAAACACCATAGATTCGTGCTTAAACAGACACAGGTACGGTCTGGGGACCTGTCAGTGGGTGGTCCAGGTTCCGTATGGTCTGAGAACAGGGGATTCTCAGTACCTCATTCTCAACCCAGCAACCTCCAACAACAGGTGACATCTCTCTCTATCACACACACACACGCACACGCACACTTAAGATTATACAGCAACACTACATTTACCTATGGCGGGAATGACAGTCTCCAGATGAGCCTGGTCAAACTTGGCCTTGTCCCCGGTGTCCAGGATCCTCACCAGAGCAGTGAACTGGTTTTCAACTCCCTCCACCACTCCCTTCTGACGACTGTACAACTTCTTGTGCACCACCTTCACCACTATACCCTGCATCCCAGTTTAGCCATCATCATCAATACCTGAGTGCCCTCGAAAAAATTGTCATTAAACTTTCATTGTTGGTTATGTAGCCATCCGCCATATGGCTTTCTGTTTGGGTATCACACTGTGTATATCGTGGTGGGTTGCATTTAGCCCCGCACAACAATGGTCCACCTTGGCTCGTAAACCTTGGAGTATGCAAAGTTCACAGTCTCCTCCCACATGGTATATACATACGTATCATAATGCATCTGTGTGTTGCTACACTCTGCGACGAAAAAACTAGTATATTCATAGGTCCGTCAAAAATAACCTCAGTGATCCACGTTCTCACTTACTGTTCGTACAGGGTTCTTTCGGTGTGTGTTCCTCCATCTACAATACAGTCATACATGACGTAGCCATATATTGGTGTGATGACGACACCGCCCACTTCAGATTCTAGATACTGGAGACTACAGAGGACCTACAGATATCCTCATGATAGTAGGTGTGAGGGGCACTTAGCTAGATAGAGTATGCTAAACTTTTGAATGGTTGGTCTCACTAGCTTAAACTAAATCCGCCAGAGACGCAGTCAAAAAAGATCCTGCTTTATTACTTTCCCTAAACATGTATATACATGTACCTCTCTGATCTCATCCAGGGCACTCCACTTTCTCTTCCGGGAGTCCTCTTTCTCTGCCACCTTCTTTTTAGTCTTCCCTCTCTCCCCCACCCCTGTTGCCGAGCTGGCAGCCATCTTCAGAACATTCTGGAAGGACTGAGATCTATGCAGAAATCACAAGACAGAGACCACGTACCGTATATATTTCTACTGTAGGGATAGGGCAAAGGGTATGGGATATTATACATAATATTCTATGGTAGGATACATTGTTGTTATTGGTTACTCAATATGCAATAAGTGTTGGGCTAGGGCTACAACTAAAGTTGAACAACATTACGGGGCTGATATAGTCGTTGGCAATGTGCTTGTGTTGCTACCAACTTGTCAATTTGGTCTCAAACTTTATGGTGTTACAGTCTGCCTACTGGTATCTACATAGAACTGCACAAATACTAGGTGAAAAGCAGTGCATTTACTGTCGTTGTTGACAGTGCGCCCAGACATTCAAGCTGCTCATTTAAGGCAGTTGATTAGGCAAATCGAAGCTAGTGAACGTTGTTTTGTACTACTAACCTTTCGAGTGGATGCTTTGGTTTGGCCGTTTCACTGCCATTCAGTGACTCTGTCATCTTGACTGCCCCAGCCTCTCTGCCTGCCTCGTTCTCCTGCCTTCCTTCCTCCATATCCTCCTCACTTATTTTCCTCTTGCTCTCCCTTCCTTCCCTCTCTTTCTGCTCCTCCTGACCCTCTTTGCTTCCACTGTCTTCCCCCTCTCCCTCCTTCCCTCTTTCCTCCTCTCCCTCCCTCACACCATAACCAACAGTGGAACTGCTGGTAGCAGCAGCACTATTAGATGGAGAGGCTGACGACTTGAACAACTTGAGCACCACGGCCAATAGATTTAGGTAACCTTCAAATATGATCTATGTACATATGTAGCTACCTCTCTTGTTGATAGTAGGTCACCTCTTACAATGTGCAACACACTCATAAAGTTGTGTTTTAAGGCAAAAGAAAATGAATGCATGTGATATACCTTTTTCACTTTCATCTTTTCTTTGCAGTTCAGTGTACACTGGTTCAGGAGGCTGGGAATATTCAAGTAAGTATTGTGTCACGCAGTTCATTGGCTTGCTACCTGAATGCAACCAGTTGTGGTGCAGAGTACGTACCTCTTCAATGTCACCTTTGGTGGCCAGGTCTCTGGCAATCCGGTCGTTGATCATCTTTTGACATCTATCCTCGTCGTCCCTGTCCATCTTACTCTTCTTCGCCGCCGCCTATACGCACGTACACATACAGTCGGAGAGATGATACCATGGAACTTTTCTAGGCTTCTGACTCAGTGTTAGTAGTCACAGAGGAATGTGCAGTATCCTAGTCAACCAAGTACATAGTTACGTTTCTGCACTGAGCTAAAACTTAAACAAAACTCTCCCGTAGCGGCGATAAATTCCTAATGGATGCTACAGTAGAATCCGAACACAACGGGAGGCGAAGGGTTTTGTATGCAAGTGAAATATTTGGATAAGTGAAGTTTGGTTAAGTGATCTCCAACTGTACTAACTCTTTTGATCTGTGTATATACATTGCTACTATACATTAACCTCACACAGAACCTGTATCTATCTACGTGTGTAAACAACATACTTGTTCTCTAGCTAGGACGTCTGGGCTCCGATCAATGTACTTGATAAACCATCCCTTTGGTGTGGGATCAACTTCACACATACCTTTTGACGAGAAGCGAGGTCAACACATGACATTACACACGGCAAAAGGGGGGAAATAGAAGAAAGTAAATATGAGCGATAGTGAGGAACAGACAGTGAAAGCTGTCCATAGTGACCATCCAAATTCTCTGTATAAAGGGCTGTTTCATAATGCTTGCGATTACCGTGTGACTTGACCTCCGTAAATAATGACCCACACATGTAGGTATATAGTAGCTATAGACAGGTTTCACTGCATATGGACGTGTACAGTTTTGTATGCTCTACAATAGCTATAGTTTAGCCCCATTATTATACCATACCGGTCTTTCCCAGGAACATGACAAAGCCGGTCAGTGTCGTCCACTAGAGAGAGACACACGGCAACAGAGAGAAGATTGTCACATTTTTAAAGATTAAGAATGTCAATTAGTCACACTTAGGGAATGTCAATTAGTCACGCTTAGGGAATGTTAAACGGGTTTATGACGGCACTTACACGTGTGGCGTTCATGTGATAGTGGTTCTTATCCTTGATGTACTCCTGATACACCTCGTTAGCATTGACCCTCCTAGTCCCTGATGGTAGTGAGAGAGAAAGGATAAAGATTGGGGAGCGGGCAAGAAATGAAAATGTCGCCGTACCATACGAATGGGAGAGAAGCTTCATGAAATCTTGCAGGAACTGCCTGTAGGAATAAACAGACTCGAATTATAAGCCAGACTAGGTTTATACAGTGGGCTTTACAAAATCATCTCTGAATAAAGGACACCTTGGGGAAATGGAAAGCGACCCATGTTCAGAGGCGTCCATTATTACAAGTACACTAATGTATTAGTATCTGGCAGAACCGAGCGTCCTTTATAGGGAGGTGTCTTTATTTGGAGGGTCCCTTACAGGAGATTACCTACTCACTGTGAGAAAGATGCCACGTATCTACCGGGGTTTTCGGCGACCAGAAGCAGCTGTCTCTGGTGGGCCTCGGAGGACATGTGACACTTGAACCCATTCTGTGGTGGCCGCGCGAGAGGAAGAAAACGGTTGTTACGCCGCCCGTGTGGAGCGTTCTAATTAACGCACCTCGTCCCGACACTGCTTCTCGCACATCTGACAGAACCAGCGCAGCTTCTGTAGTCCCTTAGACTTTATCCTGTTCGAGATGGCCTTGGGCGACATGAAATCGTGCTTAGGCATCTCTTTCTTCGAGACTCCCGCTACAACAGACAAAAAGGAGGTGTTTTGCTCAAGAAAATCGCTGACGTAAACACTTCCGTGAGGGAGAACTCTGCACCCTGCACTCACCATGCCAACACCCACGGACGACGGGCAGCAAACTCACGCAATCCACAGACTTTGCGCATCCAGAGTGAATAGAGTGAGCTTGCTCTGCTTCCGTCAGCAAGGGTATGCTGATGGACGTGTGTTTGTTTATTTTCGGTCCTGCAGGCCACATGGAGCCAACTAGACGTCTCTGCCAAGCTCTGCTGCACCAGAGCTCAAGGCAGCTTTGTTGCAGGCTCACCTCTCCCTCCCGGTTCACCCTCACTCCCTCTTCTCGCTCCCTGTCCACCACCTCAGCCCCTGGTGATGGTGGGGAAGGGAGAGCAAGAGTCCTGGGCATCAGGAGGGAGGAGAGCAATGTCTGGGAGAGAAGAGCTCCCCTCAGCCCAAACCACGTCCAGAGTCTAATCAGCAAAGGAGTCAAGGTCTGTTTAGCCCTTCAATAACGTGGTTAACACCACTGCCTGATCAGGTGTTGATCCAGCCGTCATCTCGACGTGGCTATACCGTGAGAGAGTACCAGAAGGCAGGAGCTGTGGTCACTGACGACCTGTCACAGGCTGACACCATAGTTGGTGGGTTGAACATTAGAGAACCTCTCTCCAGCAAATATGTACAATAGCTTCGAAACTCAAACACGACATCTTCTGATAATCAAGGCTGCTCAAACTAAAACTGATTCTTAGAATATGTATGCAACACAGAAATCTTCAATATACTGGCATATGTATGTATGTATGGGGACTCATCAGCAGTAAAGATGTGCATGCCCAATGAATAAAAGAGACACTGTTGTGGTAGTAAATATTTGCATGCACCCTTACAGAAGCAGTGAGATTTGTACATGTAGCAGTACATGTAGTGCTATTAGATTTCAGAAAAGGCACAGGTGAAGTGATAAGATTATCTCGCACTACTGCAGGAGTGAAGCAGCCACCACTGGAGCACCTGATAGACGACAAGACATTTGTCATTTTCTCACACACCATCAAGGCCCAGCCAGAGAACATGCCTCTCCTTGACGCCATCCTCCAGAAGGTTTTCGTCTCTCTCTCTCTCTCTCTCTCTCTCTCTCTTAAGGCACGCCACCATAGAGTCTTAGAGCATACAACAAATTTTACAATATCGACGATGAGGTTAAAAGTAATCATTTCCACTTTGCACCAGGGTATTTTTTCTTTTTCTGCTGACACTGATGTGCCCGTGAATAGCCTCATCTCTATCTGTGTGGTCCAAAATGTCCATTGGGCAGCTTTGCCTGTGTACTAAAGTTACTCCACTGTATGTATATCCCTGAAATGGCCTTCTCTCTGTAGAGGATTCGTCTGGTGGACTACGAGTGTCTGCTGAACGAGAAGAAGCAGCGACTCGTGGCCTTTGGGCAGTACGCTGGAGTGGCAGGGATGATCAACATCCTCCACGGTCTAGGAGTCAGACTTCTCTGCTCTCGGCCACAACACTCCCTTCATTGTGAGCTAGTCTGTAGTTAGTCTCCTGGGGCAGTATTTCATTCTTTCGTGAAGGGCCCCCCACAGCACTTCCTTCATTGTACAGTGGAACCTCCAAACAATGGACACTATGGGACCAACTATTTGTCCCTTGTAGAGATGTTGTCCCTATCTCGGAGAGTCCCTTATCGGAGGTTCCACTGTATCGTAAAGGGCCCCACAGGCCACAGCACTCCCACCATTGTTGGTCCAGTTGCAGTTAGGGCCCGAGATGATAGTGGTTTTATGATTGTGTATTGTTCTAACAAAAGGAGACTCTTTTGAACCAGTGTATTTTTAAACTGAGCTTTTTCAGACTTGGGGATATTTCCCCCAGAAATATGTTGTGTTAAAACACTCTTCCTCCACCCCTCTCCTCCTCTTCATCTCCCTCTCCCTTCTCTCTCTTCTCCTCTCTTCTCCTCTCCCCTTCTCCCTGTATACAGCACATAGGTTATGCCCACAACTACTCCAGCAGTAGTTCGGCCAAGGCAGCAGTGGCAACTGTGGGGAAAGAGATCCAACTGGGAATGTATCCAGAGTCCCTTGGTCCCATGATATTCACCTTCACTGGAGCTGGCAATGTTTCCCAGGTCAGTATATAACACAATAGTGCATGCTGTGGTAGTGAGTTGAGATGCACCGGCAAATGCACACAGATTTTTGTCATGAAACATTATATTTGCCTTTGGCTTCCGTCATCATTTGCCTCCTTTACCATCAGTCAGACTGATCCTTAAGGGCAATTATCTATGGATGCAAGATGCAATGCTGGCTCTACTTTGTCGGCTCTAAAACCTATCAATTTCTTATTGCCGAGTGCCTTGGCACTAACTCAACCTATGCATGCCTTTTACTAGCTTGTGTCAGACTCACTGCTTTCTCTCTTTCACGCACACACATACCCACATAGCTAAACATTGGTCTCAAACGGAGAAGAAAGCCATCTATGCATGCGTATACGTTAGACACTGTTCTTTGCCTGTGTAGGGAGCTCAGGAGGTGTTCAAGGAGCTGCCGCATGAGTACGTCTCACCTCTTGACCTCCAGAATGTCGTGGAAACTGGAGGTATGTACTACATTATGGTACATTTGTACCGGAAAACCTTACATTTTTGATAGAGGAGGACCACCAGTAATTGTGCTCCCAGTATATAGTGACTGTATGTATTATGAAGTTCAAAATTTCATCATTAAGTGGCAATATTTTAGAGAAGCTCCTTTCACTTGTATAGTACAGGAAAGTTTTCAACCCCGAAAGGTTTCCACTCTACATAATGAGCCATTGAGCGTTATTCTGTTGTGACTGCAGATTGCCACAAGGTGTATGCCACCGTGGTGGACAAGGCTGACCACCTCTACCGACTGGCAGGTGGGGACTATGACGATGAGGAGTTCGAGAAATTCCCTGACAGATACGACTCAATATTTGCCGACAAAGTTAGTCTCATTCAGCTTTATAGTACAAGCAACACTCCTAGTAATTATCCATCCTAAAACTTTGGTACATTTGAGAGATTTTGTGAACACTTTAGTGTACCACGCATGCCAGCTGACCACGTTCGCTTAACTTTTTCACAACAAGTTTAGTTATGTGGTATGAATCAAACTGTGATTCGTTTTCCTTGTTCTAATGACTGCCTGTATGTGTACAGATAGCACCGTACACGACGTGTCTGGTCAACGGAGTGTTCTGGGCCCCCAACAACGCTCGTCTCCTCTCCATAGCCCAATCTCCTCCCTTCACCCGTCCACATGGACACCTCAGTACTGAAGCTCCAGGGTGTCCCCGCCCTGCCTCAGAGACTCCTGGCTGTGGCTGACATATCATGTGACCTCCATGTGAGTACAGCAACCATGGTTACGTACACAGTAGTGGAGTAGTAATTCTTCACGAGGGAATAATCACATACATGAAGAGGTGGTGGTAGCCAGAGGCAGGGCAAGATTCAAGGGTAGGTGTGGTATTTGTTCCAACTAGGAACCAGTCATCATACCATTAAAGTGTTCTGGCCCATCTGCCTAAACAAGTAACTTGAATGTGTTAAGGTTGACTGTTTTTGGTGGTGCAGGGTTCACTAGAGTTCATGTCCACGGTGACTACCATTGACAATCCTTCACCATGTACAATGTACACACCGACTCCACCTCCCACGAGTGAGTGAAATGTCCACCATCCATCGTTAGGAAATTACGTATCACTGGGAACATATTAAACATCTAGCAGAAAGCTTCATGGCTACCATGAGTCGTGTCAAGGGACAAATTTTATGACTACATGATTGTGTATGTGCATTAGCAAAATTTCTTAACAAATTGTGAAAGTTCTTCCCAATGAAATTTTACCTGTGTGCTGATATTTTTGTGTGACAACTGTTCATTTTGTCACTAGCTACCTTACCTTCTCACTGTGTGTTGTGTGTGTGTGTGTGTGCATCTCGGGAACGGATATACGCATGTCCATCGACAATCTTCCAGCTCAGCTACCCAGAGAGGCCACGCGATACTTTGGCAACAGACTCTTCCATTCATCTCTGAAATGTATGACACTCACAATCTTTGTGTCCTTGAAAAAGTACCGTATGTATAAATGTCAATGAACAATTTTCAGCAACACAAGAAGCATAGCAGTGTTCATATTGCTCACATCATGACGTGTTAAATTCTACTTTAGCTGAGAACTGATGGTAGAAAGAGACTGTATGACTATGAAGACATTTCGACCTCAGTGAAAGATGTAAGCAGCTAGCATAGCCAGGTTTACAGTATGCATCTCAAACCTTGATTGCAGCACCACTGTCTTCAGGCGTCATTGCATATAATGGAGAACTGAACAGAAGTACAATTACATCGAGAGCTCAATCTAAAAAGTAACCAGACCTTCATCTATATTGTATATACAACTATATCAGCAGCAGACATTATTGTGTGTCAACTCCCATGTGAGCTGTGGATAATTTTAATGCACCACAGTAGAGATAAATTTCATAGACGTAGAGATCTAGAGCTCAGAATATATACCCCACCACTTGTATGATTGTTGCATGACATTTCTATTGCACGATCACATCATTAATTTCCTTTAAGACATCCCTATGAATGAGAGTTACATTAATAATAGACACTCAGAAAGGACACACTTTAATGGTAAAGAAAATTGCATACAGTCTACTACCCTACTGCAGTTGCCCAACAAGCAGCCTCCAGGCTGCACAGGCAGAACCTACATATTGCTAAAACCGCCCATCTTCCTTGTGCCCCTGCGCCAGTACGCATAGGTATGGGGGGGACACCGTGCCTTTCTCCCACGTACCGCGGTACTCTACCACCCAAGAGGGCTTCCCTACACCCACTTCACTCGAGTATTTTGCAACAACCCCATCCGATCTAGCGAGAGATCTCGCGCTCGCTCGATGGCGGGTGTTGCAAACATACTCGGGTGTTTCGCGGCATAGAAATTGTGGACATTGACCGGCCGCGCGCTCGCCGTCAAAAAAAGTTGAATCCCATGGAAACGCGAGAGGGCCGGATATGCGATATAAACCTCAAAGCTTTTTGTTGGCTAAACTATGCACTCTATTTCCGCGAGTAAGCCACGTGGCAATGAGCCATGACCTCTGAACCGCTAGAACAATCCGAGGAGATCGCCGGGAAGACGGTAGCTATGGCCGCCTTACACACGCGCGCAAGAACGAACTTGTGCGGACTGTCGAGCCGAGCTCCCGATTTTGCCATAAGATCTAAGCAGCTTGAAGGACAAGCCCAGAGACGGATGTTCCCACCCCTGTTGAGATAGAAATGTGGACATGACCGGCCGCCGCGCCGCGCCGTCAAAAAAATTTGAAATCCCATGGAAACGCGAGAGGCCGGATATGCGGCCAAACCTCAAAGCTTTTTGTTGGCTAAACTATGCACTCTATTTCCGCGAGTAAGCCACGTGGCAATGAGCCAATGACCTCTGAACCGCTAGGAACAAATCCGAGGAGAATCGGCCGGGGATCCGGGAAGACGGTAGCTACGGCCGCCATTACAACGCGCGCAAGAACGAATTTGTGCGGACTGTCGCGCCGAGCTCCCGATTTTGCCATAAGATCTAGGCAGCTTGAAGGACAGCCCAGAGACGGATGTTCCCACCCCTGTTGAGACTGAAGTGCTGCAATTTTTCCTACGCTGCCTGGAATTAAGTGATCAAAGGTAACCGTGTTGTACACATAATGTAAAGTAGCTGTATAGGGCTGTTCAGGTAGTGGAGACTTTGAGCTTCTTTTTCGTTGGTGGTATGTGTTGCGCGTTGGCTGGACATATTTGCAGGTAGTGTTCCTGGACCATGTTTTTCAGTCTCTCGACGGGGGTTGGCATGCTTCTGTATGTGGCTCTGAGGGTGTTGAAGCGGGCATGTATTGACTCCGACCCCTGCTCGCCCATCATGCCCAGGCCTGTTTTCCATTTCTGTAGCCATTCGACCAGGTGGCTCTCTAGGAAGTGCATCTTTGGCAACACTGTTGCATGTGGGAAAGTCTTCCTGTAGTACTCCATGAACTCCTTGATGAAACCACCTGTGTAGGAGTGAAAATGCTGGTATGAATTCTATGACGTTTGATGTTCTGTCATGATGTTTTTGTTGTAGGTGAGATGGCAGTTTCTGAAGAGCCCATGTGGGTGCAACTAGAGCAGAGAATTGCTCCACATCCTAGTTGGAGTGGCTGGTGCAGGATCTGATCGCATAGAGAGCACGTAACGCTGCTCTGGGGAACAGGGAGTTTTCCCAGATCATACTGTTCTGGCCGCTCGGATGGTGGCATGAGCCTTCTAATATGGTTTCCCAGGATTCTTTTCCCATCTGTTGGTGGGCGTCCTCTTTTTGATGGTTTTCGTCCTGGCCTCGGAAGAGATCTAAAATGCTGGCATACCTACATGTATGTGCGTGTACATACATTTACGTATGTTTGTTCGACTACATACCTACCTCACAACTACTTTCACTGTGCTCTGTCCATACAATTTGAGTACTGCCAGGAGATGTGTGCTGTCGCTCTGCTGATCTATAGCACTGGTTGCAGAAATACTGAGGGTGGACTGTTTCAACATCATGGTCACAGTTCACACCAAGCAGTGCTAGCCTCTCTCTGTAGACAGTGTTCGAACATTTATACATATTTCTGTCTCTCAACTTATTTCCACAAACGCGACAGTGCTTCTGCAGTTTGCTCCTGGTGGAAGTCCCTGTATTTTTCTCCTATGTATATGCAACGAGTGGTTTATGCTGTGATTACTATGCCGGAAAGGCCGGCGCATTCCAAGGCCAGGAAAAAAGGCAGCAACTTTGTTTTAAACCGCTCACCGGGCTCAGACAATGGTCCCTGTTGATGACTGATCTACCCTGTTCGCCGGAAAAATTGTTGGAGAGAGACGAGCGACCTGACAAGTGACCGTGTTCGTACCGCGGCTGCGTAGGTGCATGTATGTAGTCGCCATAAACGACTTGTTACAAAACCTCGCGTCACCAGCATCTCGACGCGTCGTATCTTGGTTACGGAAGTGGGCGTGGTGCGCGTGTACCGTATATGTTCCAAATTAGCGTAAATGTCCACAATAAAACACCCGTGGAGAGGCTAGGCGCCGCCGCGCGGGTAAGAAGGATCACGTGAGACTCGTTTTGCAACAACAGCAGCAGAGGGCTCTCCAAACATGTGCCCTAATTGGCCTGCTAATTGAAGGAGATTCCTCTCTGTTTCACTGGTTGACTAACAGCTCCCTAATACACTGGCAGCAGCCAAGCCATGCAATTTGCCCAAAAGCACTTTGGTGTTTGCCATTTCCACTAGAGAAGCAACCAAAACACTGCTGGCACATGCAGCTACACAGTCATAGCTATCATTCCCACTAGCCTAAAGAAACAGGAGTGTACGGGGTAAAGTGATGTGTACTATTATACCACTCAGTTGAGACTCTATTTGGGCCCATTTCGCAGTGCTATAAGCTTGAGTCCAGTCACATGCTCTCGTTATGCCTCCCACCATCAAAACCTTATTGTACAAGTGGAAAAATCATTTCTTCAAAATGAAGGGGGATGTAGGGATGGTGTAAATTACGAAAAAGGATGCCAACAAGAAGATGCTTCAGCTGACAACAAAAATCATACATCCATCCCTACATCTTTCTTTCTTTTGCTCTGTCTAAGAATGTGTAGCTAGGCACTCGTTATTGGGAGTATAATATAGGTATAATTATTACAAAACACAGTTGAGGTTGTGAGTTAAAGAAGATGTAGGATGGATGTATGATTTTTGTTGTCGGCTGAAGCATCTTCTTGTTGGCACCCTTTTTCATAATTTACACCATCCCTACATCCCCTTCATTTTGAAGAAATATTTTTTCCACTTGTTCCACTTATTTTTAGCCTACACTGAGCCCCACCCTTTAAGCGGTGCAGAGCTGCGAGCGAGGAGCAGCAGGGTTCACACCCATGTGTGTGGAGATTTATGCACTGCAGATTTGTGTGATTTGAAGATTTGATATCACACACACTCGCAGTGCATTGTGGGGGCAGGGGCGATGTCCGTAGCAATTTTGCATGATTCTTGCATGAGAGACTAGTGGGCGCATGCACAAGTACAAAACTAACCCAACATTCATTGTACAATATGCTTTGTTGTGAATTGTGAAGGAAAGTTTTTTTTCTTTAGGAGAGGTCTATACATATCTAGCTGAAGTGAAAGGTATAGAGGTCAAATCAGGGGTATATAGCTAGTAGCAAGCAGGCAGTAGGAGCCAGAAGTTTGCAGGGTTAAGGGTCTAGCTTGAGAGTGCAGTTGCAGTCCAACCCCTATATAGACAGAATATAATAATATAGATAGTATGCACCATCAAGTGAAACACAAAGCATCATAGACAATGTATGAGTAGGCTTACAATAGGAATTTGTAGTGCAATAAAGGCTAGGTCAGAAGTGGTATATATAAGGGTGAAGGAATGTATATACAAGTCAGCAGTGGTGATAAGGGTAGGAAACACTTCAGAGCCCCACCTGCCCAGCAACTCCCAGATAATCTTATAAGTATAGGTGAACGCCTGGTTCTGAAGCGATATCCCAAGCTGTTTACTCTAGCACCCTAGGGGGGGTAGAGTAAACAGCTGAGGGGATATCCAGTACCACCAAGGCGTTAACCAATTTGTAGCCTAGCAACCGTACTAATTGCCTAGCAAGCATATCATTTTAACCAGTTGTGAGAGAAGCGGTGCGACACGAGGGAAAGAGGCCGAGAGCAAGCTTGCGTGAGCCATGCTGCCTGTGACCATTTGTTCGAGCGATTACTATTTTATGCTAGCGTGTAGCATGCATTGTAGCGGGCTGCTGTAGCGCGGACCAAGCAGAGAAGACCAGACTCCGCGCATACCTGGAATGACGTTCTTTGGAGTCTCCTTCGTATACCACGTACGCTACAGCTCAGCTATGTGCAGCTAAGCTGACATTTTTGAACAGCGCGTTCAAACGACACAAGTGACAGCACGGCATACAGCCCTCTCGCTACTCTCCATCTCGCCTTTATCTTCTGGCTGTGCGTCGCGCATCTTTCTCTTACTTGCTCCCACTTTTCCGTTGTGTGCCAGCTTGGGATGTAGCCACGCTCATCCTACAGCTTACCAAGAAGGTCACTGGCCATTGTTTGCTCATTAGATCGGTGCGTAACTGTGGCTACCCAGCCAGTGAATACTCATATTGACTCAATTAAAGGCACCCACACATACTTGGGATATGTGTATTGATGTGCTGGCTGCTTGGTATTGGGAATACTACTAGCTTCGGTGGCCTTTGATCACAAACACAAACCTAGGTTACATGGCTGGTTATCTTCCTTCCCCTGTCTGCATACCTCTATAGTGCAGCCATATCAGCACTATTTTTAATTAAATGGGCTCACACGCTGCCTTTCCTTACCAGGGTCCGCATGAGTAGGTGGCCCTAGCCATCTGCCTTATACCTTGACGCACACGTCTGACCGAGAAAGGGATCCTCCTCTATGACCTTTCTATTCTCAGAATTATAGCACCTAATATCTACTTCCCTCCTTCTTTCGAGCGATAACACAACTTATCCAAAGGATGGAGGACAGAAAACAGTGGTGCCAGTCAGAGCACAGTGGTAGAGCGCAGTGGAGGGACCTTGCGACTGAAAGAACAGTGTGGGGTTTGCTTGTTATCAGCCATCGACTATCAGCAGAGTAAGTTGCTGGACTAGAGGCCGAGGGGTGCCGATAGTTGACTGAAGGAGAGTCGTCAGGCAACCCCTATTAACATAGGCCATGAGGAATGCAGACAGACTTGCAGGGTTTACCTTGACACATAATTAACTGGGACCAACTACTCCAGAAACCCAAGCTGCAGTAGAGTACAGACCTGGAGTAATTATACGTGATGATAATGGCATAGCAAGACTTACTTGACCGTGGCGACTCCAGACACATAGTCAGCAGTGCGGACACGCCAGACACGGAGTGTCACGTGAAGGTGAAAACGTCCAGGTGTGGCCTGCCGTCCGTGGAACCGCGAAATGACATTGGCAATGAGCTGGATTGCAGCTAGCTATACAGTACCACACAGTATCTCACTTACCAAAGACTGGATAGCTA